TACGAATCTTATATACAATCTGGTGCACACTAAGGGTTCAGGAGCAGCCTAGCAGTCAGCACACCCTTCTCGGATTCCTCCAACTATCCTACAAGCTAGAACCCCGGTGTTAATCACTCTTCCACTGTCCACACAGCCTCACACCAGACACTACCAACACGCAGTGCAATTGCATACAGATAGGCAATGAACTTGACTGAGCATATACAGACACTGCAATACAATACAATCTCTCCGGAGATATGAGCCCAAGCTTAAGTACCCAGAAGTCACTTATTAATTTTATGATTTAATATCCCGAAAGTGGGCAGTGCATAAAATATGTACAAAGTATAAACAGTTAAAAATAATACAGAAAATACAAGAAGACACGCAATTGGCTATTGACTATAAAATAAAAGGGAATAAAAACAGAAATAAAACTTTTACCAAGAGTTATCCTGCTACAGAGAGAGTCCGCGATCCGCCAGTCAATAGAACTGGCTCTGTACGAATCACACCGTCCATATCCTAGGTCCTCAATTTATGGGAATATGGATGTAGGCTGGACATTAGCCCTTGGCCAATCAACTCTGGGGGGTGTTCCTGTACCAGCCCACAGGACGTTCTGGGTGCTGAAATGCCCAAAGTCGTTTGGACCAGGAACGGTTTGAATCACCAAGGCAGGGATAGAATTTCCGACACCAGCGCATCAGTCTGACCGCAACAGTACCAATGACTGTTCAGCTGTCACAATCAGGCGCCATATAACCGTTTTCTGTGTTTCTCTGGGATTCTATATAGGCTACAAATACAGTTTTACATGCAGATGTAGCCTACAGTGTGTCCAACCAGAAGGAAGTATTTTCATCTCTCTGCAACTAATATTTTAGCTTTTATGAGAGATGAAATATATTCCTTTGATCTGCTGATATACTTTAGAGCTCCTAGACAGATTGGAGGCCTCTCTTGGTCTCCCGCTGCCTCTGAAATGTCTAGAAGTAGGTGACAAGTCTTATTGTCATGTAGGTGTCACCTCCAGCCTAGAGGATTGCTCTGTCCTTTCAGATGCTAATTGGTGAACATATGTCTCTGACTGAATTCTGAACACATCTTATTATTAACATGGAATGAGCTAAATCTATAATGTCATATTTCTACAGATCACATCTCAACTACTCAAATCTTTACATTTATGTCACAATGACAGTGACCAAACTTCTTTATATTACTCGTGGACAAGCTCAATTAACAAGAGGAGTAGATCCACCAAGGGAGGAGGGGTTAAGTCCCCTCAGTCAAATGCTAACATGAGTACAATTAAGAAATATATGCCAATACAAGAAAAAAGTCCTGAGATACAAGGTCCTGAGAACCAAAAGGAGAGAAATAGAAAGTCTGATGGGGAACAATCTAGACTGTCATTTGGAACACGGGATGGAAATCTGCCAAATTAATCCATAAATATTGAAAGTATAATATAATGAAATGCGGCGGACCAACGGGGAGCTTTATCTTAAATTCCTACTAAAAATGAGATGGTAGAAATGTTTGCAAAACTGGAATGTTCCATCAAAAAATGAAATGGCGGTGATTCATAAGGACTTGTTATCAAGAGTTGAAGAAGTAGAAGGGAAAATGGAGGCCCAAGAACAAGAGATCATAAAACTGGAAAAGCAAGTAGAGGAGATGAAAAAGGAACAGAGGAAGTTATCATATAAATTGGAGGATCAAGAGAATAGAGAAAGGAGAAATAATCGGAGGATCCGGGGCCTACCAGAGGATACAAGAGAAGAGGACTTGCGGGAAAAAAATAAAAAGTGTGCTTAACCCCCTGTTAGGAAGATCAGATAATAAAAATTGAGAGAGCGCACAGAATTAGACATCCTTCAGGAATCACGGCAGAAATTTCAAGAGCTGTGCTTGTTCGCTTTCATAATTACGAAGAAAGAGAGAATATTGAAAGAACTGCGTGAGACCCCCGAAATAAAATTTGGAGAAATGAACTTGCAGATTTTCATGGATGTTGCTCCTGAGACTCTATCTAGAAGAAGAGTACTGAAATCATTATTCGATCAGTACAACTGGGGTTTTCCGGCTTGTCTGGTCGGGTGGAGAGATGGGGAATCAGCAAGATTGAGATTCCCGGAGGAACTAAGAGACTTTTGTGAAAAATTAGAATTGCAGATTGTTGATATAGTGGGGTGGTGAAAGGGGTCCAATGAGAGGACGGAGTTAAGAAGCGAAAAATGGCAGCAAGTTAATAAAAGAAGAAGGTAGTTGAAGGGGGGTGGGGTTAGGGAGGAGAGGGGAGGAATGAGGAGGGGGAGGTGGATTAATGGCTCCCCCCCTTTTTTTTTCCTCTTCTCTTGTCTCACCCTGCCCACCTTCCCTTCCACTCTCCATCTGATTCTCGAGAAAAAGCCCAAGTAGGATACCATAGTAACGGTGGGTCGTCTGAAGCCCTCTTAAGTCAATACAGGAAAGAAAGGGGAAGCCCTCATGTTGAGAACAGGGGGCCAAGATTGGTGTGCATGTTCAGAGCCATACACCAAATTAGGAATCGCTAGGGGGGGGGGGTCCCACATCAGATTCTAGGGCAATATATAGGCCAGGAGGTTTTTATGGGTGGGTGGGGAGGGGTCAGGAAGCCAGGGAGGAGGGTGGGGAGGGGGAATATGGGGTAGGGTAATTGTCCATGAGTCGAATAGTTTTTGTTTCCCTACCTGTAAATGGAAAGAGAAATAGTTATAAGATATGAGTTTGATTAATATTATGACTTATAATGTAAAAGGTCTTAACTCTCTGACTAAAAGACATAAGATACTTAGCAAAGTGCACCAACACTAGATGTGGTTTTTCTACAAGGAGCACATCTTTCTTATGATACCAATGCTAAGTTATATTCGAGGTACGATCCAACCTGGTACTACTTGGACTCACCAATAAGCTTTGACCTTGAGGGAAAATTGGTTGATTCAGAGGGTCGGTATTTAGGTTTAAGAGGGAAAATGCAGGGACAAAAATATACACAGTTTAATATTTATTGTCCAAATAAGAATCAAGAGGATTTCCTTCTAGATTTAATTGAGAAAATTATGGAGTTTAAGATAGGTAGTCTGATCATAGCAGGACATTTCAACTTCTGTCTGGATCCATGGATGAATGTGTCTTCAGGTGCACAGAGGGAGGGAGGAAAAAGACACTTATACATGACCCCGATATAGAAGAAAGGGTTAAAGGAAGAGCTAGAGCAATTTTTTGCTCTGAATGAAACAGAGGAATTATCTGTAGCGATTATATGGGAGGTACACAAGGCCTATATGAGGGGAATCTTGATTGCTGCAGGAACAAAAAAAGAAGAGAGATCGAGAGAGGAGATTAAAAGGGGTAACTGAAGAATTACGTAAACTAGAACAGGCACATAAAAAAGCAGGATATTGATCTGAATGGGAAGATTACCCTTAAAAGAGAAGAATTAAAGGACCTAATAGAACAGGAAACAAGGAAAGTCTTTAATAGAGTTTCAAAGGAAAGATACCAGTGGGCAAATAGACCAGGAACATTTATGATGAAGAGATTGAAGGAAAAGAAATCAAAAAATTTTATAGAAAAAATTAAAGATGAAAATGGGGAGCAGATCTATTCCACCACTGGTATCGCCGATATGTTCTAAATGTTTTTTAGTAGGCTGTATGAGGTGATCCCTATAAACCAAAAAGCAACAGAGGAAGAGAAGAGGAGGAGAATGCAAGAATTTTTAATGCAAAAATTGTCCTTCTCAAGGTTCATATGCCGAATGCTGTTATTGAGTATATGTGTTAGAAGCTGTTAAATTGTCTTTGCTTGTAAGCACCCTTTTAATAAATTAGTTGATTTTATCAAGACATACTACACTATATGGTTTGTTCTGCCCTTTGTTATGATGCCATTGGAGGCTGGTACATTGTCGATTGAGAAGAGCCATCTATGATCTATGCTAGTGGATTATATAGTTCGGTAAGGTGCATGGTCTGTGAGGTGGTGGAGAGTGTTTCACGGAGCACTGGTGGTTTGATGAAGGAGTGAGGGGAACACGATATTAGTCCTATTATGTATAAGGGTATTACACTATAATACACTTTTTTCGGAGGTACACCTCGTATGAAGGGCAGGACGTGATTGGAAGTGGATTCTTGAGGAAGTTTGCCAAAAAGAATGTATCATAAGGCTATACAAAGTAGATAGACGGTAAGAGTAGGAATTGCAGCTGGATTGAAGTGAACACTTGGTGGAGTGATTTGAGCACATTTTCACTGTATTTGTGAGTGCAATTTTTACGTTTGGTGTGAGCATTTTAAGGGTAATGCACTATGTGCAGTTTTGTTTTTTTTGTTTTTTAGGGGAACACTGGGAGAATGGAGTGACTATACGGAGGAAGAGTGATAAGAAGGATAGATAGGGTTGAATAGACACTGAGAAGGACAATTTTTGGATTTTGGACTTTCGGGGCAGAAAGTGTGTATTCACATTTGCATATACAGTGAGGAACAGAAGTATTTGAACACCCTGCGATTTTGCAAGTTCTCCCACTTAGAAATCATGGAGGAGTCTGAAATTCACATTGTAGGTGCATTCCAACTCACATTCCAAATCACATTGTATGATTTTTAAAGAATGTATTTGTCTTGCACTGCTGAACATAAGTATTTGAGCACCTAAGAAACAGCAAGAATTCTGGCTCTCAAAGACTTGTTACTGTGCCTTTAAAAAGTCCACCTCTACTCCACTGATTAATCTAACTTAGTAGCACCTGTCTGAGCTCTTTAACTTAAGTTGTGACCGCCATAATTAGTTGCTGACCGCAAATAGCCGAATGACGGCTGCACTGCGGCCGGCCAGTTCTGAGTGGACGTCATATGACGTCCTCCCAGAACGCGCTCTCCTGCGCGCCCCAGGGGGCGTGCACCCGGCGATCTCCAATCACAGCGGCCTTTTACCACGTGATCAGCGGTGTCCAATGACACGCTGATCAGAGGGAAATGCAAGTGCCGGTTCTCGGCTGCACTTTCCTCACGCTGTCAGATCATGAGGAAAGTACTGCCGAGAACCGGCAGTTGTCAGAGCGGGGATCGGCACCGATCATGAGGGCACTGATGATCAGTGCCCTGATGATCGGTGCCCAGCAGTGCCACCCGCAAGTTCGGCCCACCTGTGCCCAGCAGTGCGCCCACTAGCTCCGTCCACCTTTGCTCAGCAGATCACCCACCTGTGCCCAGCAGTGCACCCACCTGTGCCCAGCAGTGCACCCACCTGTGCCACTCTGCAGTGTCACACACCTGTGCCCAGAAGTGCCACCTACCTGTGCCCAGCAGTGCCACCCACCTGTGCCCACCAGTGCCACCCACCTGTGCCCACCCACCAGTGCTGCCCACCAGTGCCACCCACCAGTGCAGCCCAGCAGTGCTGCCAGTCAGTGCCACCAGTCAGTGCCCAGCAGTGATGCCAGTCAGTGCCGTCTATCAGTACCCATCATCAGTGTCACCTATCAGTGCCGCCTATCAGTGGTGCATATTAGTGCCGCCTATCCGTGCCACCTCATTAGTACTGCCTATCAGTGCCCTTTAGTGCTGCCTATCAGTGCCCATCAGTGCTGCCTCATCAACGCACATCAGTGAAGGAAAAAAATTACCTGTTTGAAAAATTTTATAATAGAAACAAAGAAACTTTTTTTTTTTCAAATTTTTTGCATTTTTTTATTTATAGCGCAAAAAGTAAAGTGCCCAGTGGCGATTAAATACCACCAAAAGAAAGCTCTATATGTGAGAAAAAAATGATCAAAATTTCATATGGGTACAATGTTGCATGACCGCGCAATTGTCAATCAAAGTGCGGCAGCGCTGAAAGCTGAAAATTGGCCTGGTAAATAAGGGGGTATAAGTGCCTGGTAGGCAAGTGGTTAAAGACACCTGTCCACCCCACAGTCAGTCAGGCGCCAACTACTACCATGGGCAAGACCAAAGAGCTGTCAAAAGACACCAGAGACAAAATTGTGGACCTACACAAGGCTGGAAAGGGCTACAGGGCAATTGCCAAGCAGCTTTGTGAAAATAGATCTACTGTTGGAGCAATTGTTAGAAAATGGAAGAGGCTAAAGACGACTGTCAGTCCCCCTTTGACTGGGGCTCCATGCAAGATCTCACCTCGTGGGGTATCACTGATGATAAGAAAGGTGAGGATTCAGCCCAGAACTCCAAGGGAGGAGCTGGTCAATGACATGAAGAGAGCTGTTTCAAAGGTCACTGTCGGTAGAATGCTACGCCATCATGGTTTCAAATCATGCATTGCACGGAAGGTTCCCCTGCTCGAGTCATCACATGTCCAGGCCCGTCTGAAGTTTGCCAATGACCATTTGGATGATCCAGAGGAGGCATGGGAGAAAGTCATGTGGTCAGAGGAGACCAAAGTAGAATTTTTTGGTCTAATCTTCACTTGTCGTGTTTGGAGGAAAAAGGATGAGTTGCATCCCAAGAACACCATCTCTATTGTGAAGCATGGGGGTGGTAACTTCATGCTTTGGGGGTGCTTTTCTACGAAGGGGACAAGACGACTGCACTGTATTAAGGAGAGGATGAATGGGGCCATTTATTGTGAGATTTTGAGCAACAACCTCCTTCCCTCAGTCAGAGCATTGAAGATGGGTCGTGTCTGGGTCCTCCAACATGACAAGCACACAGCCAGGATAACCAAGGAGTAGCTCTGTAAGAAGCATATCAAGGTTCTGGAGTGGCCTAGCCAGTCTCCAGACCTAAATCCAATAGAACATCTTTGGAGGGAGCTGAAACTCCATGTTGCTCCGCGACAGCCCCGAAACCTGACAGATCTAGAAGAGATCTGTGTGGAGGAGTGGGCCAAAATCCCTGTTGCAGTGTGTGCAAACCTGGTCAAGAACTACAGGAAACGTTTCACCTCCGTAATTCAAACAAAGGCTTCTGTACCAAATATTAACCCTGATTTTCTCAGGTGTTCAAATACTTATGTTCAGCAGTGCAAGACAAATAAATTCTTTAAAAATCATACAATGTGATTTCTTAAATTTTTTTTTCATTCTGTCTCTCAGAGTGGGAATGCACCTACAATGTGAATTTCAAACCTCTCCATGATTTCTAAGTGGGAGAACTTGCAAAATAGCAGGGTGTTCAAATACTTCTCTTCCTTACTGTATACTATTAGGATATACCGATATGTGTTGTTTAAGAATTTTTAATGGCAGCAGATTTACCAAAAATTGCAAAAGATAAATTAGCATCCCTAGAACCAGTTATTTCCCAGGGTGAAATTAGGACAGCCTGAAGAGTAAGGTGGGAGGAAACAGCCCTGGCTCTGACGATTATAGGGTGGGGTTATATAAAAATTTAAAGAGTTATTGGTCCCTAAACTCTGTAGATATATGAACATGCTGGGAGAGGGAATGGATATAAGAGAGGAATCATTGCATGCATATATAACAATTATTCTTAAAGAAGGGAAAGATAGCTCACAGTGTGCTAGATATAGACCCATATCATTACTAAATACTGATACCAAATTGTTTGCAAAAGTGTTAGCTACCAGGCTGAAATAACTGATGCTGAAATGGATACATTTAGACCAGGTAGGATTTATCCCAGGAAGGGAAGGAAGAGATAATGGTTTAAGAACATTGCTCCTTCTGCAAAAAGCAAAAAGTGGTAGGCAGCCGACAATAATTGTGTTGATTGACGCAGAAAAAGCCTTGGATATGGTAGACTGGGTGTTCATGATAAATACGCTGGAGGCATTGCAAATAGGGGAAAAAATGTTGAAGTGGATATAAGGGCTCTATAATGGCCCTTCAGCAACTGTGAAGGTTAATGGGGCCCTGTCTGGGACCTTTAGAATGTATAATGGAACCAGGCAGGGATGCCCATTATCCCCGTTATTGTTTGTATTATCCCTGGAACCACTTTTGGCATCAGTGAGAAAGAATACAGATATTACAGAAATTAAGAGTAGGAGTAGAACATAAGGTAGCAGCATATGCAGATGATATGCTGTTTTACATAGTGAACCCTAGACTGACGCTGCCCAACGTAATGGGGCTATAAAAACAGTATGGAGAGTTAACTAATTTGAAAATAAACCCTACAAAATCTGAGATTCTAAATATTAATGTGTCTAAGGTAGAGAGGATGAACTTACAAGAAGACTTTCCATTTACATGGAGGGAAAGGGAATTAGACTATTTGGGAATAAAGTTAACCCCCGCAATAAAGGATTTATACCAAGTTAACTATATCCCATTAACAAATGAAATTAAATATGAGTTGAGAAGACTCTGAGGGGGGTGGGTCTCATGGATTGCGCATATAAATCTGGTTAAGATGGTAATAGTCCCAAAAATTCTGTGTAAGTTTCAAATGCTCATAATAAATTTACCCGGATCCTTTTTTAGGATAATAAGAAAATTTATATCAAAGTTCATATGGGCTAATAAGAAACCAAGAATTAAGTATAAAACTTTGTTATAATAAAGAGAAAGGAGGATTCAATCTGCCAAATAAATATGATGAAGTATTACATGTCGGTGTTATTATCACGGGTGGTGGATTGGACACATAATTCACAAGAGAAAAGTTGGGTTAAAACGGAAGGTATATTAAGTATTACACAATTCTTGTATTTTATAAGAAAAACACTTTTTTTCCAAAGTTTTTGGACTTTTTCATTTATATAGCAAAAAAATAAAAATCCCAGTGGTGAATAAATACCACCAAAATAAATTTTTATCTATCTCATAAAAATGCTAAAAAATTCATATGGGTGCAGTGTTGCATGACTGCGCAATTGTCATTCAAAGTGTGATAGCACTGAAAGCTGAAAATTGGCCTGGACAGGAATGGGGTAAAAGTGTCCGGACTTGAAGTAGTTCAGCAACCATAAACTACAATTAAACAGCAATTACCACATAAGTTATCACAACTTAACCTGCTCCCTTCTGGCCAGTAACAAAATTGCGGCCAAGTGGGACTCTCGTTAATTGGAGTGGGCATCATATGATGTCCTCCCGGATTGCACCTCGTGCATGCCGGTGGAACCACGCTGTGACGAGATCTGTCACTGGCTGTGTACCTTGGACACAGTTGATGACAGATCTGTGTATTGGCCTAGTGCCAGTACCATGTGACCGCTGTGACCAATCACAGCAGGTCACATGACAATTGTAAACAATGCATGACTTCCTTTTGTGCCATCCTTTGTATACAATTGTGTCACTAGCTGTGATTGGTCACAGCTAGTGTTTAGACAAGGGACTTTAACCACTAGCCTACAGGGCACTTATACCCCCTTCCTGCCCAGCCAAATTTCCAGCTTTCAGCGCTGTCTCACTTTGAATGACAAATGTACCCATATGAAATTTTTATCATTTTTTTTTAAACAGATAGAGCTTTCTTTTGGTGGTATTTAATCACCTCTGGGATTTTTATTTTTTCTTAAACAAACCAAAAACCACTGAAAATTTTGAAAAAAAAAGTTTTTTCCTAGTTTTTGTTATACAATTTTGTAAATAAGTGATTTTTTCTCCTTCACTGATGTGCGCTAATGAGGCTGCAGTGATGGGCACTGATAGGCTGCACTGATGGACTCTGATAGGTGGCACTGATGAGGAGGCACTGGTAGGTTGCACTGATGGGCATTGACAGGCATCACTGATGAGCACTGAAAGGCAGCACTGATACATGACACTGATACATGACACTGATAGGCGGCACTGACTGGCACTGATAGGCAGCACTGACTGGCACTGATAGGCGGCAGTAACTGGCACTGATAGGTGGCACTGACAAGTGGCACTGACTGGCACTGATAGGCGGCACTGACTGGCACTGATGCGCACTGATAAGCTACACTGACTGGCACTGATAGGTGGCACTGATTGGCAGCACTGATAGGTGGCACTGATTGGCATTGATAGGTGGCACTGACTGGCACTGATGGGTGACATTGAAAGGCAGCTCAGATGGGCACTAATATGTGGCATTGATGTGCACTGGTATGCACTATGTGGCATTGATGTGGCACTGATGGGCACTGGCACGTGGCACTGATGAGCACTGACAGGTGGCACTTCTGGGGCCACACTGATCATCAGGGCACACTGATCATCCGAGGGACACAGCGCACCGGCGATCGCCACGCTGCTCGCTCCCTGAGCCGCGCATGTGCAGTGAGAATGGTAGGACGTCATATGACGTCCTATCAGAACGAGAGAACCACCTTGCGCCCGTCATTGTACTATAGGGTGGGCAGAAGGGCAACAAAAAAGAATACTGAGGTAAAAAACAACAAAGCTTTATTCTAGTACAGTAAAATACTACAACCTTATCAGTTCCATAAAAGTCATTACATAGTGGCTACATAAATGTGAATAAAGGAACTTTAGCTGATGTAAAGAGATCCCCCTCTTGTTGTTCCCCTTGACAATCATCCCTTGGAAACCAATGCGTTTCAGATAATATTCTTTCATAAAGGGTTTATAACAGAGGAGAACAACAAAAAAGATGTTCTGTGGCATAACAAATAGCAATAAGTACATTTCAGTACCAAAATGTATGGAATATTATGCATACAAGAAACATACATACATAGGGTAAATGTCATCCTAATTGTATAGAAGCATAACAAATGTAGCCATAATACAGATTAAAAACATCAAAAACAGCCTGTCATTGTCACAACAGCACCCCAAAGTGCGATGGTATTGGAACCCCTAGCCAGCGTAGAGAGCGCCACACTGAGGTCTCCAATGAAAAATGGCCTCAACCAAACTAAGGAATAAAACAAAGAAGTACCATAAATAACATGGAACTTCAAAATGATCTACTGGCCATAACATATCCACACTGTGCTGCAAGGTAATGCAGTACACAAAAAGAAGATTCACAAGTTAAAATTATCTAGTTCAAAGTCTGTATAGTTCCCAGCATGGATAGATTAAAGGTCACCTGTAGATGTTGAGTGGCAGGAAAGCCTAAAGGAGCGACAAATAATTACATGTGTAGAAATTACAAACATACATTACAAAAAAACAACAAAAAAAAAACGAAAACATTATTAAGAAAAAATAGGGCTGGGGTTTCAGTATATAAATGGAGGCAAATATTGAATGTTATATCAGTAGACTATGGTCTTATTTTTCACATCCCCCTGAGGAAAAGCCTAAGAATGGTTTGAAACTAATAGTATCATTAAGGCCTGGGGGGAGGTAGCTCTTAACAGAAAGATCTGCCATGTCTCATAATGGAGAAGTGTCTTGTTCCAATCTCCTCCTCTCCTGTTGGGGTGGACTCGATCCAAAATTAAGAAAGAAATTTTAGGAAATCTGCCTTCATGTATATCTCCCACATGGCCAAGCGGTAAATCAGGATCAGAAGTTTTCATACTGACAATATGGCGATATGCTCACCTCTAGAACTCTACCTTTATTTTTTCCACATAGAATCCACCACACTCACAGATAAGCAAGTAAACTACTCCTATCGTTTTGCAGCTGGCAAAATGTCTGGGTATGTAGGGATCACCATTAGGTAATAGCACATCATGGTTTGTGTTCATATATCTACAATATGACCAGCCCCCACGTTTAAAGGTGCCTAGGTTTTTACAAGGATCTGTCCTGCATTATCCCACAAATTCACTGTGGACAACATAATCTTTATACATTTTGCTTTATGGTATGTTATTGGTGGAGTTTCCAGGGTGTGAGGACTCAAAGTGGGATCAATTAGCAAGAGATGCCAATATTTTTGGATACTTTTTTTGACTGATTTATGTTATCTCGTATAATGCATAATGACCTGTGTATTTGTTGACTTCGTTTTAGTTTTGGTAGAGAGTAATAGGTCGTGTCTAGATCTTTGTGTAGCCCACTTCCACTGCGCTTGTGTGGGTGTCCCGTGCCATATTATTTAAACATTGGATCACTCTGTTAGGCTTTCCTGCCACTCAACATCTACAGGTGACCTTTAATCTATCCACGCTGGGAATTATACAGACTTTGAACTACGGTAGGTAATTTTAACACGTAAATCTTATTTTTGTGTACTGCATTATCTTGCAGCACAGCGTGGATATGTTATGGATCATCTTGAAGTTCTGTGTTATTTATGGTTCTTCTTTGTTTCATTTTTTAGTTTAGTTGAGGTTGTTTTTCATTGGCAACCTCAGTGTGGCGCTCTCTTGGCTGGCTGGGCGTTCCAAAACGATTGCACTTTGGGATGTTGATGTGACAATGACAGGCTGTTTTTAATCTGTATTATGGCTACATTTCTTATGCTTCTATACAATTAGGGTGGAATGTATATACAGTATGTTTCTTGTATGCATTATATTCCATACATTTTGATACTGCAATGTATTTATTGTGATTTGTTATGCCACAGAACTTCTTTTTTGTTGTCCTCCTCTGTTATATACCCCTAAGGAAAGAGTATTATCTGAAATGCGTTGGGTTTCCAACAGATGAATGTCCAGGGGAACATCAGCTAAAGTTCTTTTATTCACATTTATGTAGCCACTATGTTGTGACTTTTATGGAACTGATACATTTGTAGTATTTTACTGTACTAAAATAAAGCTTTGTTGTATTTTACCTCTGTACTCTTTTTTGTTGCCCTTAAAGTCCCTTATCTAAACGGGGGGGGGGGGGGGGGGGGGGGGGTCTTCTGATCTTTCTGCATAAATATGGGATGATGTTGGCAACATAACCTGATAATATCTGTATTTACATGTACAGACTGGGTCAATCACAGCCCATCTGTGCCAAGTGATTAGATGTGGCCAATCACAGCTAATCACAATAAAAAAACCTGAATGAATCAATTTCATTCAGCTAAATGCTGGCTTATAGCAAATAAATTCTTTGCTATAAACAATCATAATGTGTAAACAAAAGAAAAAAAAATGAAAAAAAACTGATTACTTTCCCAGAGTAGTGCAATGTTACTATGGTAACTTAACAAAACACATTTTTTCGTTCTGCACATGTCTAGTGCTTTATACTGTCCCACTGTGAATGGGAGTCCCCTCATTTGCCCTGCACATTCGCTGCACTCCTTGATGTGTGAGAAGGAAAGTTTGTGGAAGACTTACAGCAGTATAGCCACTATAATGTGGGCATGATAGTGCACCCCACTACCCTTCTGTGCTGTTTGCCACCAGCTTCCACTCTCAGATCATGCCTTCCTACTATAAAGATATAACTGTTGGATACATATAGCGATGATGTATTTTTGTTCCTAAAAAAAAATAACTTGAAATCAGCAAAGTTATAATATTTAAGCCCTACCATGGATGTATATTTTGCTCTCAGAATCTTTTTATCTAGTAAGGAGGTAGGTGGTGGGTAGAGCTTGTTGGGCAGAAAGCAGCCTAATTTTAATAAGTCTGTCCATTGATTGAGGAGGCTCTGATGGAACTACAAGATAGCTAATAGAGTTTAAACTACAGGGGGCACTCGGGGACTGGTCAGCTTGCAGCTGAAAGAGGAAATGGGGGTCTGTTGGTCTCTAGGGGAAGAGAACAAGGAAGAAGAGTCTTACTAGGAGTACAGATTGAAAAATTAAAAGCTTTATTCTTTTAATATGAAAATCCATTTTGCCTGGAGATGAGCTTTAAATTATTACATCACATAAGAAAGAAAAATGATCACGAGGGAGCTTTTTAGAAAGCTGACAGAACATAGGAGAGATCAGAAAAAGGAAAAAAAAAAGAAGGAACGAGCCTCATGAAATGTGTAAGACAGGAATCACATGTCGAAATCTGACAAGAAATGTTATGGCATGATGAAGGGGAAAACAGAGTCATGTGGCCTTTGATAAGCCTTTGATAAAATGAGCAATCATGCTATGAACGATCCATGTAATTGCATGGCAGTAAGACAGAGTTCAAATGTAATGGGGCAGACCAGCACTTAACAGATACAATATATTTGCTAAGCTGTACAATGTAAGTGACAAAACCAAGCATATTGCAACAAGATACTCTCATCTTGTACTTTCCGTTTTACCACCCTGCTGTTCATAAACAATGCCAAAAATGACTGAAGGATGGAGGAGATGTGACAAAGAATTTTGACCATTTAGAAATATATTTTTGGTTTGAAACCAGCCATTGTCCTTTATCAAGGTTCAATGGGGATGATTTACTAAAAGCAAATAGGCTGTTCATGTTGCAATCAAATTTTCACATTGATAAAATGAACAGTAGTGCTACAAGTGATCCATGTAATTGCATGGAAGTAAGACATAGTTTATGAAAAGGGCAGACCAGCACTTAACAGATACAATATTTTTCTTAACCATGCTATACAATGTAAGTGACACAACTAAGCATATTGCAGCAAGTTACTCTCCTCATGTCTCTCTATTTTACTGACCTTTTAATCAATGACAGTGCCAGAAATGACTGAAGGATAAGGAGGATGGGACAAAAGATTTTGACCATTTAGAAATTTTCCACTATCAAAATTCAGGGGGATTGAATAACTAAGGGGAAAGGCTGTTCACTTTGTAAGGGGATTTTCTTTTTGCCAAGGAACTTTCTTTAAGTGAATGTGGTAAAAATAAATATATATATATATATATATATATATATATATATATATATATATATATATATATTTTTATATGCGATGATAGATGTTTGCAGAGCTTCACCTCATTCACTACATTCAGGCAAAATTCCTTTGCAACATGAATAGCCACTTTTTCCTTTAGTAAATCAATTTCTAACTATCTGATATAGCACTAGAGCTAAGTTCAGTTTTTTAAGCAACAATGGCTTTTATTGAGTTGAGTCATGCATATTATAAAACAAGGCACAGTGTGGTTGATATCAGGGGGGAACTGACCATTTGGAAACTCGGGCACTGCCCGAGGGCCTGGGGTCAGTAGGGGCCCTTATGAGATGCCCCCGGTACCTTTTTCATAGGCTTTTTTGAGTTTGGGCAAGGACACGGCCCTATGATCCCCTATTGCCTGGGGGCCCCATGAGTTGTCACTCCACCCCTGGTTGATATACTAAAACTGGAGAGTGCAAAATCTGTAGCCAATCAGCTTCTAACTTCAGATTGTTCAATTAGG